GAGCACACTGGGCTCACATGGAGGGGGGGGGCAGGAGCTCCAACAAGCCGTGTAGGACAGAGAGTGAATACCTGGTGAATACACATACTATACAGAGATGCTGTATGAGAAACCAATGTGATTTTGGAAAATTGCACAATTTAAATCTATTCTAGTAGACCTCAACAATGGAATTATGATCAGTAGAAATGGCCATGACATGGGACCTTTAATCCTAAAGATGGTGACAAATAATGTCTTATAACTATTTTCTGATTCACAGAGAGATACAAAGGAATATCCCAAATTATTTTTGTAAAAACCTTTGACTATAATGTCAAGAAAGTGAAACATTGTCGCATATTTGAGGAAAAAATGTCAGAATACATGCTTTGCTGTTTTTATTGTTAGTTTCATGATGATATCTAGTAGTTAAAATGTGTCCACTATTCACCTGGAGCGTCTCCTATTAAATTTTTGGCAGGTAACACTAGAGAGGAAGCAAGAGGAAGTTAGATTTGCTAACTCTTTCCCATTAAAAGTTACTAGCAGCATTAGCTCTAAGAGTTGCTAGGTTGGCCATCCAATCATTTTCATTCAATCCATTGTAGTACAAATACAGGTTTATTGATGTTGCCAGGATGTAAAAAGAATTGCAACAAATATAACAAAAAAAACGGAAGGAAATCAGTTACTAGCGTGTTTAAAGTTCCAAACCTCTCATGGATACAAAGGCTCAACCTTCTCAGCAGTGGTGGAATGTAACTATTATAGATACTATATAGGACATTTACCCAAGTACTGTACTTTTTTTCTCACACCTCACTACATATTGAAGTCAAATATTGTACTTTGTACTACATTTATTTAACACTCATAGTTACTAGCTATTTCTTACATATAAAACATAACATTTTTGATGTGATACCGGTACTGTACTGTAAAGTACCTGCAATTGTCTTAACATTGACCAAATACAACATTACATGTTCTTACATGTATTTGTAAGCAATACAAACTGAATAATATAATATTATTGTATGATATAATACTTTGAAAAGAGCCATTGTGCATAATACTTTTGATACTTTAAGTACATTATTATTCTATACTCCTCCTGAACTAACATTTTGAATTCATGACTTAAATGGAGTATTTTTGGACCAAAGTATTTCTACTTTTACTGAAGTAAAGGATATGCTTCTCGCGTCAAATCCAACCTAAACCACTGCTGCCCTAAGCCCAGCCAACAAAGAGGTTCACGTGAGTGAAAAAAAAAAACTTAGGGAAGGAAAGAGGAACATTTTCACACATCATCAGGGGAACATGGGCAGGTGAGTAGTGTGGTGACAGGATGGCAAACACTCTGGTCGGAGGAGCAGTGTATGGTGGCACCATCAACAGGTACTTACTTGGAAGAGATTTTCTTTGTTTGACTGTCGGGAATCCCCTTTATTACAGGACATCTATCAACAAAAGAAAGAGGAAAGAACTATCCATGAATACATGTAAAGCTGTTCATGAGTGTCAACATCCAAACCTAGAGAGGCCTGCAGTGCAGACAGTACAGTACGAGTTCAAACACATACCAAGTCTTTAGGACATGATGGTGCAGAGGATTGGTCAGAATAATCTCTGCCTCCCTAAATCAGAATCAACCAGAATACTTTATTCATTCCGATTCTGAATACCTGCTTATTAAACAGACCAACAAGATAGAGATCAGCGGAGGATAAAACCACGTTCTACCACCTGACTCAACACCTGCTGTTGGATGAGTGGATTAAAGCTAAAGAGGCTAAACATATGTATTTGTTGAATCATTCAATATGCTATTAAAATATCTTCATTGCTGAGAAACGCAGACTCTAGTGCAGTTAGGCTTTGTTCAATCATTAGTAGCTGTGCACTCTCACAACGTCATAGAGTCCTTGATCCCATTAACTTTTTGATTAGACATTACTAATTCTTGAGAGGCGGTTCTGTCCTGATGGAGATGGCTGCAGTTACCTTGGTGAAGGACACCGTGCTTCAGCTCGCTCGGACATCCCTAGCAATAAAAGCTGCAGTTCACTTTTATTACACAGCCTTTTAAGCTAATGTGGGTATCATAGAGCAAATGTTAAGGCTGAGAAAGCAGCGAGACAGCAGCACTTTGTTTGGTCTCTTTTTTATTTATCTCAGCGGGGCTTAAACAAACAGCATGTGCTGAGGACACCCACTGAACCGCCAGCAGGAGATTAGAACGAGCTGATTTCAGGAGTTTTCAGGTTCTTGAATTCTTGTCGCTCAATATTTGAAAGTGAAATCAATGCACTGGGACTAGTCTTTGGGGTAGTTCTGTTACTCTTAGCAATATTGGGATCTTGAACCCTGTACACACCAGACATATCATCTGAGGCACTATCTCCAAAAAGAGACAGGCCAAACTGCACTCTCAGTTCTTTATATTTTCTGGTGAGCAGGCTGCAAATGTACCGATTGCTCCACAGGCTCCTGTTTTAGGTAGTTTATACAACTTCTTGAATCACGAGGCAGGGGTTTAGAGAAGGAAAAAGACAGACAGGAGAGATGTTTCAGCCCTTTTGTTTTCCCTCCATACTGTGTGTTCCCGGCACTGTCAGCCACGGGGGTGCTACATGAGTGTGTGTTACGTCTTTGTATTAGGCTGAGATTTCAGTGATCTCATACTGTACCGTGTTTTTTGGTGGGTTCACATTGGGAACAAGAGTGCCCAAGGCACGCTCCTTTGGGAAGCCTACGGCAAAGAACACATGCATGTACAGCCATGGGGGTACATCATTATGTACAACAATGGCTAACACGCACACCAACATAAGCCACACACACACACACACACACACACACACACACACACACACACCTCTGGAGGTGGGCACTGTCAAATCACATGGTTCTAAGTATTATCTTTTTTTTCTCTGATTATTAACTCAAGCTTTGACCCCACTTAATGAGTCATATCTGTGTCAAGTCAAACATTCTTACAACGAATTTCAAAAACAAACAGCGTATGATTTTACTTTTGTGTGCAGTATCAACACTCATCCTCATTCAGAGCAGTAAACATTTAGACTGATAACTCCACAATACCTCAGCAGACTAGTTTCTAAGATACAACACATTATTGTGAAGGGTTTGGCTTACTTGTACCTCTCTGTTTGCACAGTAAAACAACAGGCTTTGTCAAAGACAGTGATAAGAGATGTGTTTCCCACCTGCAGGATGGCCCCATAGAGGCGCAGCAGGACGCTCCGCGGCTCGTCCCCGACAGAGAGCTGGCTGTCGGGGAGGCTGCACAGGAAGAGCTTGTTGCTCAGACCACCCCTGCAGGACAGACGGAAATAGGATTGTTCATTGCAGGTAGATAAGGCGTCCAATGGATGTTTGAAAGATATATCTTCTCATTTTTATACTCCTAAAATAAGCCTAATAAAAACCATTCTAAAATGGAGCAACTTTCACCAAATCCAATTTTCCCCTGGATAAATAGAATATTCTAATTCTGATTGATTAATACAGTTTAAGAAAATGATACATTTGAAAATAAATCAATCCAATTTTATTTAAATAGCCATACATCACAAGTTACCCATGGGTCTCTGGTGGCTTTTCAGTATGTAAAGCATGACACCATAAACCCCTGCAGCAAACAAGAAAAAAACCCAAGAAATCCCAAAGACCGTGGGGAAAAAATTGATCAGATCCTGGTCTATGGGCTTAGATTTGTCTCGTAAATATTTGTGTGAACATGAAAAAAATGTGTGTGTAAATATGTGATTTGTAAATGTAAAACACCATCCACAAATGCATTTAAAAGATGTGCATGCAAACTCACAAATAAATGTGCAAATACGCTAAATATTTAAAGTTTGTCTCAAAACTCTGTGTAAAAAGACCAAGCAGAGATTTGAGATCCACAAGCACATTTTTGGTTGACAAATACAAAATGGATTCACAAATGCCTGATTGAAAGTTGTCAATGTTAAAGAGATATTCACAAATTCCTTTTGTTTATTTGTATATTAATTATAGTATTCACAAATCTTTTTTTTATCTGTGAAAATATTTTTGCGTATTTGCAGATCCTTTTTACATTGGCAAATGTATTTGTGAGTTTGCAAATCTTTTAAATGCATTTGTGGATGGTGTTTTACATTTACAAATCATATATTTACACGCAAATTATTGTCAAATTGACAAATCTAAGCCCATACTGGTCCGATGTAGGAAACGTGTAGAACTACAATCGCAATTACCTAGTTCAATTAATGCCTATTAAAACTCAGCATAAAGTGGTGATATGGTACAACATACACATTTATGAGGCTTAAAACAGCAGCTTAAGAAAAAAAAAAAGGGAAACAATGATTGGCCACCCAGTGTTTCCAAACACCATTTGAAAAAGCGGAAGTCCAGCTTAGGGCAGAAATAACTTTGAACGATGCTATGACATGAATTAACTGGTACAATTCCAGATAGAAAGCAAACATATTTAACAACATATAATTGCACATTTCTATATACCCAAACTCTTTCGAAATCTGCACAGCCCTCCACTCTAAAATATATTATAATGCAGATTGTCATATAAAAATTGCATTTTGTATATTTATATTTGGTGTTAATAATTGTCTTTTTTTAACGTTAAATAGCTTCTTTTTAAAAAAAAATTATATTTTGGACCTTCTCTTAGAAGTTATTTCCCCATGTTGTTTTATGTTTGCACTTTGCACCACCATACACCAAGGCATTTCTTTAAACGTAAAATGTATACTGAAAGGGATTCTATTGTCATAGTTTCCTGTGTAGCAGCTAAGGATCACATCACTGCACAAATGTATTATTCAGCCTCTAACGGTGAGACTGTGTAATCACTCCAACCAAATGGGCCTATTTTCACCAAACAAGCGCGTGCAACACTGTACCGTATGATGGTGATGTGGAAGTGTTCCTCGGCCAGGCTCTTCCAGGCTCCATGGAGGAACTCCCGGCACCACAGATAAGCCTTGCGGCGGGTCTCCAAGTCGGGCAGCTCGAGCTGAACCAGCGCCTTGCAGTCCCCCTCGGTGTCGCCCTGAACCTGCAGGGCGTTTTCGGTCACCAGCAGACCCAGAGACAAGGAGGGGGAAGAAGATACTCCGTTGATAAATTTAGTTTTCATACTGCTTTTTAGTAATAAAACGCAAATTCTGACCCCCTCTGAGCGACTAAGCTAATCGTTATCCTCTGGCTGGTGTCGCAGGAGGATTTATTTCCGTTATCCGCAACAATTATTTTCTCTCAGTGGATGTATAAAGGACAGAGGGTTGTAGTTCTCCTTATTTTTCGTTGGAAAAATGCGAAGCTCTGTGGAGAGGTCTGATAAACAGTCTGCAGCAGGCTCCGTTTCTGGCAATGTATGAATAAAGTGTGAGGAGGGACGCGTTGATGTAAAGGAAGAGTACGCAGGGCGGGGTCACGTGACGCGTAGGGGGCATACTCTTCCCTCATTGGTCGGCTCGGACACGTCCCCGAGGCACCAAAACAAACCATATGGTGACTTATAGAGAACCGCAGTGACGCGTCGCAAAACCCGGAAGTAAGTTAGCATTTTCAGCACTTCCGGTTCCTTCTTCAAAAAGCAATGCATTTTTTCCATAGGGTTTTGGAAAATAGCTCGAAATAAGGTCTGTGGTTGACACAAATTTAAGAGATAAATCACGTTTTTTTCTACGACATTAAATACATCAGCAGTGACCCCACTGGGGATTTTTGAAGAGTTTACGTGTCTGAAAAACGATGGTTGTTACCGAGTGGCTGAATAGGACTACAGAAATTGTCGAGGCCGTTGTACGTCATTACGCCGAACACGTAAACACTCCCGCTAAGTTTGTTTTCCCCTGTGTTCTGTTTGAAAGCAAGTACCTGCCTATCTTTAGTATCTGTATATATATATCTGACCATTAGAATCTGTATTTTTGAAATTGCCGTTTTTAACACCGTAGTTTTACAAATTATAGAATAATTAATTACCAGTGTTTTCCAATTTTACTCGGCAGTTCGTTTCGTTAGCTAACGTTAGCTAAAGCTAGCGCTACTAGTTAGCTACTGCTACACAATGGTTTGTTGCTTTGCTCCGGGTTGCAGCCACAGGTCTTCGCATGAAACGTGCTTGTTCTATCGTTTCCCGGCCAATGTTTTCCAAAG